CCTCTCATGGTGGACCCACAGAAACTTGGAGCCGGCCCCAGGTACACACCAGGTAACAAAAAAGCCAGTGTGGACCTACACTGACTCACCAGTAAACCTCTGGAAACAAACATTTCAGGAAAGCGCATGCCTGCCACCAAATATTTATAGTATCGCTACAGGATTGGAGAAGGAAGAAGGTAGACGCAAGGATGGAACCATGGTCATTCCGATGGTCAACCCTGGAAGGGAAGCTGACTTTCAAAGGTTTTCATTAGCCTCTCTCCAGCGCCCCCCCCCCCAGACCTTAACCACTTCTTGCTTGAGGTCAGCTAGTTAGAAGATATCCCAAAACCGACGTCTATTATAGCAACAAGTCTCTATTTGCATCCAGACGTCCAGCTATTTCTACTGCTAAAGTATTTGTAGAAGATGATTTTGACATACACAACATGTGGAAATAGCATTGGATAGAAAATTGCCCCCCTCTCCCAAAAAAATGTCAAAAATTTCCCTTGCATCTTGAAGGTAACCACTTGGATTTGACAAGCTCTGTGCGATATGGACAACACTGAACCAAATTTGCACCAGCCATGGTAGATCTACAAGTGGAGCAAAATACCACCACCAAATTGTGATTGGGGGTCGTGAAAAACAAACTATCCAATATATAGTGTCAGAGGGTCAAAACAGAGCCTGTAATGGAGAGGTTGCTGATTTCCTGGCTGCGACAAATGAGGCAAAAATAATTCTGTCTGTAATCTAAACATAAATTTATCATAGTTCGCATTTTATTTTTCATATTTTGTATTTTTTCTCTTCTCTGCTTTTTAAATCCAAACGTGGTGTGAACGGGCCGTACAACACATAATCTATTTGCATCCCACTTACTGGATGGTCCAAGGATGAGCTGAAAGTTTGGTCACTAAAAGAGCAGAGTGTGATTGTCAGCTGCAAGGCAAGAAGGTCTTCCAGATGATGGTTATGCCCCTGGGAAATAAGAATAGAATAGAATAGAATAGAATAGAATAGAATAGAATAGAATAGAATAGAATAGAATAGAATAGAATAGAATAGAATAGAATATAGACAAGACTAGACTAGACTAGACTAGACTAAACTAGACTAGAATAGAATAGAATAGAATAGAATAGAATATAGACTAGACTAGACTAGACTAGACTAGACTAGAATAGACTAGAATAGACTAGAATAGAATAGAATAGAATAGAATAGAATAGAATAGAATAGAATAGAATAGAATAGAATAGAATAGAATATAGACTAGACTAGACTAGACTAGAGTAGACTAGAGTAGACTAGAATAGAATAGAATAGAATAGAATAGAATATAGACTAGACTAGACTAGACTAGAATAGACTAGAATAGAATAGAATAGAATAGAATAGAATAGAATAGAATATAGACTAGACTAGACTAGACTAGAATAGAATAGAATAGAATAGAATATAGACTAGACTAGACTAGAATAGAATAGAATAGAATAGAATAGAATAGAATAGAATAGTTGGAAAGGATCTTATAGGTCATCTAGTCCAACCTCCCACCCAAGCAGGACACTCTACACCATTTCTGACAGATGGCAGTCCAGTTCCCTTCTTGAAAGCTTCCAGTGATGAAGCTCCCACAACATCTGAAGGCAAAGTGTACCATTGGTTGGTTGTTCTCACTGCCAGGAACTTTCTCCTTATTTCCAGGTTGAATCTCTCCTTGATCAGTTTCCATCCGTTATTCCTTGTCTGGCCTTCAGGTGCTTTGGAAAATAAGTTGATTCGCTCCTCTCTGCAAGACCCCCCTCAATATTGGAAGACCGCTCTCGTGTCTCCTCTGGTCCTTCTCTTCACTAGACTAGCCATGCCCAGCTCCTATCACCGTTCTTTATATGTTTTATCCTCCAGTCCTCTGATCGTCTTTGTTGCTGTGGGAGACAGTGTCAAAAATAGGAGTACGGATGGTACCCCAATGCTAAAGAAGGGGACATCAACTGGCCCAGCTAATCTGGCCAAGGATGCTTTCTAGACATCACCAGCATGATGGAGAGACCTCTTCATGTCCATGCAGATGAACCTCCGTTTTTTTCTAGTACTGCTCAGCACTGTCCTATTTTTTCAGCACGCCAGATTCTTTTTTTTAAAACCGTAGCCGTCAAAGCCATCCAAAGGAAATCTTGATCTTTTCCCCCCGAGACTTGACTGCAATTTTGTTTTGACTACATTCAGGTTAACTGTGTTGGAATCCAGAATCCAGGCCCACGCGGAAGAAATTCCAGAGATGTTTCCCGATGAGTTGTGTATAGAAAAGACTTGGGTTTTTTTTTTTCCATTTTGATATTAAGGGCCACCGCGACCTAGAAACCGTCGGTGTGGATTCAAAGAGTTTTGGCAAGGCTGGCTGAGCCCAAGAAGGAATGTCCATGGCGGGTGTAAAATCTGAGGGATATTGGAGCTTTTCCTCAACAGTAATAGTGGAGGAGCTCCTCTGCCATGCCTGAAGGTCAAGAGATACTCAGACGGGTCCTCCAAGACTTTGCTACTATGTCCAGAAGTACTTAAGGGAACTGCCTCTCATAAGATAACCTTTATAACCTTTATTGTCATTTTTTTTTTACTGTGGGCAAAACGGCACACATCAAAAATGAAATTTAGTTGCCCAGTCTCAAAGTGAAACCCATACATGACACACACCTAAACATATTATGAACATGTGTACAGACCCACATCCCTACATATACGTAGCAAATAAATATTAAATACTGTTCATCTTGAATATATAACAGAAGGAGGAAGCTCCCTCTCCCTTTCCTGCTCTCCCTCTCCTCCTCCCTTCTCCCTTCTTCCTTCCTTCCTGTTCCCTCTCCCTCCCCTCTTCTACTCTACTTCTCCTTCTCCCTTTCCTCCATCCCTCCCCTTCTCTCCATTCTTCCCTTCTCCTTCTCCCTCTCCCTCTCCATTACCTTCCCCTCCCCTTCTGTCCCTTCTTCTCCCTCTCCCTCTCCCCCTCCTTCCTCCCCCTCCCCTTCCCCTTCTCTCCCTTTTCCCGCTCCTTCTCATCTTTCCATTTCCTCCCTCCCCTCCCTCTCCTCTCCTCTCCTCTCTTCCTCTCTCACAATCTCCCTCCCTCTCTTTCTCCCAGGATATTTCTCTAAGATCCTTTTGTCGTCGTCGGTTGCCTTTTCTCTCTTTCCGTGCCCCCTCCTCAGAGCTTCCTCTGGGAACGTCAGCTCTTTCTCGAGTAGAGACCTGTTTCAGAAAAAGCCCAGGAGGTTTCACCTTTCCCACAGTGCCTCTCCTCCTGAGATAAGCAAAGTTTTGCTTGCATCCGGGTCACTGAAGAAGATGGAAACAGTCCTAAATGTCGGCTGCTGTTTTCAAGAGAAGGCAACTTAGTCCGAACATATTTCTCCATTTCCAGGCAGGATGGACGGGCAGGAGATGAATGGGTGGGTTTTGAACGGGAGACTCACTTTCCTGGGGACAGGTCTGATCACCCCAATGCTTTGGGAACATGCAACAGGTCAATTAAATATAGGCAGTCCTTGACTTACAACGGTTCGTTTAGTGGCCATTCAAAGTTACAATGGCGCTGAAAAAAGGGGCCCATGACCATTTTTCACATGTAGGACTACTGCAGCATCCCCAAGGTCACATGATCAAAATTCAGGGCTCTTGGCAGTGACCCAGGGGTTATGTGATCCCTTTTTGAGACCTTCCGACAAGCAAAGTCAACGGGAGAATCCGGATTCCTTTACCAACCATGTCACTCATTTAACAATAGAAGGGATTCACTTAACAAACGGGGGCAAGAAAGGTTGTAAAATGGAGGCAAAGCTCCCTTTGTCACATAAATTTTGGATTCCGTCGTGATCGTAAGTCAAGGATTGCCCGCAAGGTTGCTGATCTCCGATAGCCAATGATCTACTCAAGCAATTGGATCAAAGTTGGAGGAATACATATATATATATATATATATATATATATATATATATATATATATATATATATATATATATATATGTTTTCTGAGGTTTTCGCGGGTGTTTGTATGTAGGTCTTTGGTCATTCGGGTTTTCTCCCGCGTCAAATTGGAAGTGTCTTGGCGACATTTCGATGAAGTCTCATTCGTCATCCTCAGGCTGGTGCTTTCGGCTTCATGCTTCTAGGAGCACGAAGCCGAAAACACCAGCCTGAAGATGAGGAATGAGACTTTGTCAAAACGTCGTCAAGTATATATATATGTATATACACACAATGCCGCTTCTGATGGACGGGGCCAAAACGTTCTCAAGAACTTCCACAAAAAAAAGCTTGGGAGGCCTCTCAGTCCTTCAACTCTAGCTCCATGCCTCCACGCATCCCAGCCTGATGTTAATATCTAATTATCTGGATTAATGACTGATTATTCTTCTCCCCTGTCTTTGACCTTTGGCAATACCAACATGCTTTATACTGATTTCTGGAGAGAGCGGAGGGGGGGAATGGACGGCCAGAGGGGAGGAGGGGAGGATGTGATCCAAAGTGTGAAATTAACTATTCCTTTGTTATGAAGTCACCATTTGGCACGGGGCCCGGGGCTGCGCTTCTTTGCAGGACCCCTTTCCAAGCCGGTCTAGAGCGTGACCTTGCTGGCTTCAGTAATGAGAATTTCCTGCGTAAGGTGGCCTATCCAGACCCGGGGAAGGAAAACTGAAGACAGCTGCAGGGGTGTGAACTATAAAGGCGGTGATTCTGACCGTGAGGAATCTCCTTGGAGAGAGAGGGAGCAATAACTCTCCAAAGCCAACCAGCTAGCTGGTTGTAACTTACCACTGGAGTATCAGGATTCAGAAGCAGCTGGAGGATTTCCACCTTGCCTACAGTGGGCTGGTGCAGATGCAACAGGGAAGCGGAATAAAAGAGTGGGAGGGGACTTTAGAGGTCGCCTAGTCCAACCCCCTGCTCAAGCAGGAAACCGTATATCAATTCAAACGAATGGTTATCCAATCTCTTCTTGAAAAGCTCCAGTGATGGAACACCCACAACTTCTGGAGGCAAAAATAGTATGGTAGAGGGCTCATCTATCTTTCTTTGTTTGTTTGTTTGTCTTCCTTCCCTTCCCCTTCCCTTCTCCTTCCTTCTTCTTTTTCCTTCCTTCCTTCCTTTCTCCCTCCCTCCCTTCCTTCCCCTTCCCCTTCCCCTCCCTTCCTTCCCTTCTTTTCTTCCCTTTCCTTCCCTTCTCCTTCCTTGCTTCCTTCTCTTTCCTTCCTTCCTTTCTTTCCCTTTCCCTTCTTCCTTCCTTCCTTCCTTCCTTCCTTCCTTCCTTCCTTCCTTCCTTCCTTCCCTTCTTTTCCTTTCCCTTCCCTTCTCCTTCCTTCCTTCTCTTTCCTTCCTTCCCTCCCTCCCTCCCTTCCTTCCTTCCTTCCTTCCTTCCTTCCTTCCTTGAAAGTTACAAGGAGACAAACTGATTATCAGGGGTCCAATTACTAGAATCTGAAGGGTTGACTTGCTTCTGCTAAATAATAGGACAAATGTTTATGTACTGATTGGAGGACAATTTTTGGCTCTCTGGGAGAGAAGGTTGATGGCTGGGGGGAGGGAATAACATTTCACATAAGATGTCCTTTGATGAGAAGAGAGGCAATGGTAGGACTTTGTCCGTACAATGATGAAAAGGCTTTTCAGCTTCCCGGCCCTGAGATGGGCCAGCGCAATCATGGGCCAAGATGGAAGATGCTGACAGGACAATCTCGCTCTGAGGCCTTCTGTTTGCAAAGTGCTGCGTTGACTTGCTTTTCATGCTGATGAAATGTCAGCGGAGATGGAAAGAAAGAGGTGTTTGCTGCAAGAAAAGGTGGGGATGAACACTGGCGTGTCCTTAGGCTGGGTGGTCTCAGACACCCAACAAAACCTGCTGGGATCATCTTTCTCTTCACTTTGTGATTCTTGAGTAAGTTAAATGCTTAGACAAGCAAAGGGTGGGGATATATTTTGGATAATGGGGAGGGGAGGGGGGGAGAAGAGAAGAGAAGAGAATGTGGAGTGAAATAGAAATAGAAATAGAATAGAATAGAATAGAATAGAATAGAATAGAATAGAATAGAGAAGAGAAAATAGAATAGAATAGAATAGAATAGAATAGAATAGAATAGAATAGAATAGAATAGATAATATTAATGGAATATTATTAGAAAGTTCTCAGCTTACAACCATTCATTTAGTGACCGTTTGGAGTTACAATGGCACCAGGAAAAGTGACTTACAACTCCTCAAACTTATGACCGTCACAGCTTCCTCATAGTCATGTGATCAATATTCGGGCACTTTTCAAGCAGCCTGTGTTTACGATGGTTGCAATGCCCCAGGGTCATGTAAATGCCACTGGTGTGAATATAGTTCTTGTTACAGCTGTCCTTGACATAACTTCAGGAATGCAAAACCTCTGTATTGACTCAAGATAAGTGTGGGGGAAAAAATGACAATAAGCACTCTATTGTTTGCTTGGCTGGCTGGCGAAGGAACGGGCGTCCAGCTAATTTCTCTCGGTTTGAATATAATGGGATATATAATCCAGTGAAATCTGGAACTTTGAAGGTGCAGGGTTTGTAAACTAATCCCACTTTGGAAGTGGGCGATAGATGGGACCCTTGGTAAAGCAGCAAACATCTGCCACATTTTTCCAAACCCCCTGGAAGGCCTAACATTATGACATCATGTTGCTCCCCCCCCCAATCCCTCAGCTGTTACGGTTACCCATCCATCATCTTCTCTGTAGGCTTTTTCAGATGTTGGTGGGCAAATGATGGACTGATGAGACACAGGAAAACAGTGGAACACAAGAGTCAGCTGCGTGGTGAATGGCGGAAGGTTTGGGAGGGTGCTAGCAAAATTGCTGTGTCTCTCTGTGTGTGTGTGTGTGTGTGAGCTCAGGAAAGGGAGAGGTTTGCAAGAAAGCTGCAGATCTGAGGAAGCCTCTGCTGAAAACGTACCTGCTGTTTCCAAACAGGTTACATGTTCTGCAGTTGACTGTAAATCACAAAGAACAATTGGCTTGGTGGATAATTTCCAGCATGTGTCCTAACGCGCCCCCCCCCCTCCCACTCTGTTCCTCCTCCATGGGTAAAAATTGACGGTTTTGCACAGCAAACCAAGTTGACAGATTCCAGCTCAACTCCATTCAATGCCTCAACCTGTTGATGGAGGGGGGAGTCTTACCCAAGGCAGTAATCTTATCTGCATTTTAACAATTCCTTCTTTCTTCCTTTCCTGCCTGCCTCCCTTCTTTTTTTCTTTTCTCCTTACTTCCTTCTCTTTTCCTTTCCTTCTTCCCTCCCTTCTTCCCCTTTTTTCTTCCTCCCTCCCTCCCTCCTTCCTCCCTCCCTTCCTTCTTTCCTTCCTTTCTTTCCCTCTCTCTCCCTCCTTCCCAAACTTAAGGACAGCTTTAAAAATACCATCCAAACATACAATTCTGTAATCCAGGCTGCGCGAAAGAGACCCAATCTATCTTTTTAAGTGGGAGCTACATACCCAATATTGTTTCTCACATAAGTCCATTTTGACAGCTTTCTAGAAGAGTCTGTGACAGGGTCAGCCCACCATCCTTGTGAGCTTTTTGTTAAAACCACAGGCCAGCACTTAGATATTCCTCTACCATCAACCGTCTTCCTGACTTGTAGCTGGCTTGTATTGCCTCTGTTGAGAGGCATGAATTGCACTTGAGTGGAGAGGAATCACCTTCCTTGCCAAATAAAACCGTGATGTCGCCACTGAAAGCTGCCTTGATTCCTCTCGTTGAGTCACTCTCTGGATTTTACGACAAGGATCAAACAAGGATCTCTTTAATGAGGCTCCTGTGCTTCACACAATGGAGACATTGCGTTTGTCCTATGGCTGCAGATTGAATGCAAGCGATGTATCTCATCTCAGGTCAAAACATACAAGAAAGCCACTCAAGGTCTGGAAGTCTTGCAAAATCCGAAGACTTTTCGTGGATTTTTCTTAACTGGTAGAACATAGATGAATTATTATGAAACTGATGGTTTGATATAATAGCATTCAGAACGTTGCAGAATAACAGGATAGCAAAGTTGGAAGGGACCTTGGAGGACATCATGTTCTCCTTGGCCTCTAAAGTAGAGATATTCTTCACTCCTAAGGACTTCCCAACCCCATCTTCTCAGCTTTATTTTTGTTTCTAGTGATAGTTTGTCTCAGATTTCAGATTCAATAGGTTATTGTTACAGGCTTGTCAACAGTTGGGCTAAATTGGAAGGTCTCCAGAATGGCACACATTCCTCACTGGGATTGTATTTTATTTAGAGCTGGGCGTAAATGGCCTTCTGAAGGCCATTTTTCTGCAGATACCAGAATAATGAATGATTGTGTATTTTAAGATGGTTTGCCAGCTGGCGTCTATTAAAAAATGCCTTGAAGGGATCAGCCAGGCAGGTGGAAGATGGCGAGATCATTTCAAACATGCCAAAGGAAGAAAGAAACGTAAAGTTAATATCAAAAAATAACCTTCAGTCTAACTGTACGTAACTTCAGGTGCTAATCTTAGTTGAAAATTGGCTAAAAACACCAATAATTAAAATATAACAGCTTGGATCCAGATTTAGAATCGGGCTTTCAGATAGCTTGGCTTTATTCCCAGCTAAGTTCCTCTCTTTGGCTTTTAAGTGTTCTGAGTTAACCAAAGTTAGATTGGGATCCAACTTCTTGTAATTAATTAATAATTGGGAGAAGAGCTTCAAAAGTACCCAGTGAACAATGAGGGCCCCCTCTGAAATTATTTCAAGGGCAGTGCAAGGATTGTCTACATTTAATGTTGTGTAGATGCAAACCTGGGATAGCCCTTGGCAAGGGTTGGTACAACATGGAAACCAAGGAATCACTCAATGCCAAACCACCTTGGTTATTCCTCATTCACACACAATAAATTGTATTGACTTGAAATCCTTGCCCTACAACTGTAAACACACCCAGCCTAAAATTAAGTATGTGTCTGGTGGTTGATGAGAGATCACAATTGTCCAAGGAGTAAAAGGGTTGGGAAGAAACTCACCTCCTTCAATGAAGTTCTGTTTTTGAACAGTTCACAGTTTCTTTTTTCGTCAGAAGAAGAGAACAGCATCAAAGACCGGGGAGGGCTATTTCCAGAAAGAGTGGAAATTATTCTATTCCTCTTTGACGCCAGATTTTTTTTTTCCAGACGAGGGGAAGCGTTGCTGTAACAATGGACCTTGTGTTGGAAGAACCCAAGAGCTATCCCTTCAAGGCCAGGGCCCCATCTGGGGAAGCCCCAGAGGTAGAGATGACAGCATCTGTCTGGAGGAAGTGAGGCAACGTGTTGCATCTGTGGGCACTTGTATGAATCCTTTGATGATCACCAGGTTCCTCACCTACCTTTTCTTGTCTTCTGCAAGAGTCACATTTAATATGCAAGGTTGAATTCCCATAGGCCAGCATGGAGAACAACTATTCACTTAACATCTACCCAGTTTAACCCCGGGAATGCCTGGAGAGAGGAGTGGTCCAAAATACCTTCTTCTGGCCTGACCATTAGTGACCCCTAATGGTTTTGACCTGCCTTGCTTTGTCTGGTTGAAATAGAACAGAATTAGGGGTGAATGTCTATGGAGATTCTCAGTCCTTCAGATCGTGGTTGTCCCAACGGTGCTTTTTCAGGAGGAAATTGGACTTTCTTGTTTTTCAGTGAAGAGGGGAGATATCCAAGGTTGCTAGGATGTGAAATATCTATTTGTTCTAGCAATTTCCGCCTTGTATTGCTGTCTGAAGCCTGTTGGACCTCAGCTGAGTGTGGACAGAATAATGAACCCTGGTTTGACTAAACCATTATTGGATGAGTTCGTACAACACAACAGAAGGATAGAAGCACCCAACCACTAGGCCAAAACCCATCTCACTGTCAGTCTTGCTAGGTAAACCAGACAGGAAACACAACCAGTTAAACTAATTCTAATTTATAGTAAAACTACATGAACAGAATCTTGCCGGTCTGAAAGTACAAATCTCCCCCATCTCCTTTACAGTCTGAAAAACTAGAGAGGGTCCCTTATGAGCTTTTCTCCTCCCATCATATAGCTTTGGGCTACGCTGTTTCTTATCTGACCATACCCCAAGTAGCATCTCTTCACCCCATCTGCGAAGGTCTTTCCCACATACCATTACACTATCTTATGGCACTGTGTAGTGTGCTAGGTAAATTAAGCCAGTTAACAGGTGTGTGTTGAGGGGAAGGGGTTCTGAAATGAAATAATCTGTCTCTGACCACTAAGGTCCTTCCTGTAAACTTCCCTTTGGGCAGCTGAAAAGACTGAGAGGTATTGTTAGAGCTAAGTTAACTTTCTGATGGATGTTTACTATTTTTAAAAGAGTCCAAGTAGGCAGAGGACCTATTACTTAATAAGTGCACTTAAGCATCTAATTGCATGCATCTGGGTAATCGCGATTAGACATAGTCAATTAAACCCACAGTTGTAAAGCACTTTAAATGGCCAAGCTTTGCCCCTTACTGAGTAAGTAAATAAGGAGGGAGATATTAAAATGCAAATTCTCAATATGGAGGAACAATTAACCAGGAGGGAAGAGCTTCAGCTCCGAAGTTTATTGTCCTAACTGAAATGTATTTCTTTCCAGGAACAGACTAACTTCCGATAATGGGGTTTTTAATTTTTTTGGCTCGCGGTTACGGGTTGAAGCAGCAGGATGGAGGATTGTTCCACCACATCTCCAAGTTTTGAAATGACATAAACAAAACAAGAGCAAAAAAAAATCACATGGACACCTTTTGTTCCCAATTCTCATTAGTTTTGTCCTCTAAAGGGCTTCCAAAAATCATGTCTGCACAGAATAACATCAGTGGTGGATCTTCGTAAAGCTGCAAATTGGAGAAAAGATTTGATGCTGGTTCTGTCAAGTCTGTAGGGGACATAAACAGATTTGGAGAGAACTTTGGTAGTGCTCAACAGACTCCTTCACAAAGGAGTTGCAAGGGGACAGTTGATGATTGAGAACATGGCTGCCATGATTGGGCGTGGCCAATCACGAAACATCAGTTCATGATAGCTGAGGTAGTCCTCAATTTACAACTGTTGGTTTAGTGAGTGTTTGAAATTGCAACAGCACTGAAAAAAAATGACTTACCACCGGTTCTCACCCTGGGAGTGATTAAATGAGATCTCGGGAGACATATGTTTATTATCCCTAATGAATGAGTAGTCTCAGCAGGGGCAGACTCTTGTGGGGAAAGCAAGCATTTTTAGCAAATCTCCTTATATATAACACCTTGCGCAAGGATAAAGATGCCAATGGGGCCTGTATGGTTTATTCCACCTTTAGCCAACTGTGTAAGAGAAGATAAAGGTGATGGGTGGGTGGGAGAGAGAATATGTACCAGCTGGTACCAAGAAACAGTCTTTCGAGATATAAATGTGTGCTTACTTTGACCCTCAGCTTAATCTCCATTTTCTTGTTGAGAACTTCTCTAGATGTTCCTCTGTACCTCTCGTTTTCTCCAGTCCATAAAGTTTTACAAGCTCTTTAATGTTGCAGGATATCCGTTTTAGATCGTTATTGCCGAAATACTTCTGGATTTTGGGAGGCGAGTAGGTGATAGGTAGGGTAATGTCATTATTTTAGAGCAGGGAAAAGAAGAATTAGATCAAATAGTTTGAGAACCACTGATCAAGATCAGAGGCAGGGAATCTGTCAACTAGTGATACCAGCCCCTGAATTTGGAATTTTCTACCAGCTGCCCATGAATGTCCGTTCCTGGTCCATGGCAGATCTATTCATTTAGATGATTTTATGTTTCTGGCATGCTTTTTTCCCATCATGTTCCTTCAAGGTTATTTTATTTTTATTTTTTATTTTTGTTGTTCTTACATTTCCCCCATCCCCATGCCATTAAAGATTGGGAAAGTTCAGATTCTGCTCTGTCAAATGTCAAGATGCGTCTCTTATGAAATATGAAACTGGAAGGGTAGTGTTCTTCCCCACTCATCTCAATTCGCATTGTAAGCTGACCCTCTGCTTTGAAGGAATGACGTTCTGTCATCCACCCTCCCCTTCAAAGATGTCCACATTCTTCACTGAAAAAAAAAATTTGTAAGATTCAGACAGTATGCTGACGGAAGAGGCAACTGGGAACAAACCCTAGGCCGTCTACAGTAGGAGCAGAAGCAACTGCTTCTGTTTGATGGACCTACGTTTTATCCCTGCCTTTTCATGAACACCTTTTGCAGAAAGCTCTCTAGATGTTCCCATGGAGCCCGTTATCATTTGTCAAGTCTGGAAAAAAAGCTTGTGGCATCTTAAGATGAGGGAAATAATTGAGATATGGTTTTCTTTCTGCTTTTTAAAGGCTTTCTGGCCTCCATCTGAATTGATCGGCATAGGATTCCAGAGAATCAAGAAGATCTGAGCAAGGTCAGATTCCAGACACTTCAACAGATGGTTTTAGGTATGTAAATCAGTCATTGGGAAATGGAGGGGTGAAAAATGAAGGAATACAAGAATCTCTAGACGATCAACTGGTTACACTAGGTTTGTCCTACTAGAGAGGACCCAATCTTGAATTTAAAAGAAAATTGAAATCATAAGTGTGGTAGCCTGGCCACAGTGATCTCAGCATCCTTGTTTCTTCTTGTACATTCCTTCTTATGAGAAGTAGACGTTGCTCTTATTTCTAGTTTTGGAAAGGGAGATATCTTAAGAGAGAGTAGTCTTTAGTTTTCAATGCATGCACTCTACCGCATAACCATGTTTAGGAATCCATGCTGGTTGGTGTTAAGGGAAGTTAGAAGTTCAATTTGAAATGTTAAGGGTATCAGACTGGGGAAAGCTTGTCTGAAGCGTGGGACTTCCCAAGAAAACAAAACAACTCTCTAAAATAGATGAGGAACCATCTCTTTCATGATAGCATCAAAACCAAGCTACATTGGGGGCAACATTTTTCCAAAGAGTGTCTATGGAGATCCTCAGCGATCCAGGTTATGGCTGTCCCAAAGGTACTTTTTTCAAAAGGTAACCGGACTTCCTTTGTTTTGCTTGAAGACGTTTTGCTTCTCATCCAAGAAGCTTCTTCAAATGCTGACTTCTTCAGTCAGAACTGAAGAAACTTCTTGGGTGAGAAGCGAAACGCCTTCAAGCAAAACAGAGAAAATCCAGTTTCCTTTTACCAAAAAAAAATACCAACACCTTTGGATTTCCCAAAGAGCCTTCTCCTGCCAATGCCACCAACTATCCAAGTTTTGTACACCTCAAACTGGATTCCAAATTCCATGGATGATCCTAAAGAATCTCCTGAACTTCAGATGACCTGCTGCTCAACTTCAGATTGGTTATAAAGCTCAAGCTTTGAAGACCGGCGGATTGTTTCTTCCCACATTGATAGACCGAAGCTACTTTGCCAACATTGGCTTGGATGCTTCAACCTACCAGAATTGATGGGTTGGGCTAACCCAAGTTTTCCTTTGGCAGGGACTGTACACATTTACTGGAATGAATTGCCTGATGGGAAAAAAATATCTTCCAAGAATGAGGGCTTCAATGCTCGTAGAGTTATGTATAGCTATAAGGAAACAGACTATTACTCTGAGAATCCACCATAACTCTACAGAACATCGGTAACTTTTCTGAAAGAAATCTTTCCCTGATGCCCTTCTGTACAACGTCAATTTTTTTCTTTGTGTTTTAACTTTATGTAAGTCCCTTTGATATAGGCTTTCTAACAATGCAACCACCCTCCACATGCAAACAAATGAACTCTTGTTCAAGTGTGCAAGCTTCAGGGATATGGTCTCTCTTTTTTTTCTAAACAAGAAGGAAGGAAATGCTGAGGGTCTTGCAAACCTCACACAGAAGAGCAAGATGCAGGTCTAATGGTGGTGAGAAGAGGAGGGATCAAGAAGGACCAAAGTTGCCTATCTCTGTAGGCTTCCATGGAGACCGTGGCCTTCTGCTCTTCCTTAAAGTGCTTAAACATGAGTCCACCTAAGGAAGGTGGCCAAAGGTTTAGAAATTTAAGGGTTCCTTTCAAGTTCGTTGGCTCAATTGCTCCCAAAATATCTTGACTGGAAACAGGAGGACTATTCTGTCACCAAGGGAATTTTGGCCAGCATCGTAAGAAAAAAAAAATCTCATTGAAAGATAGGGGTCTTCTCTCTTTCTCTCAGCAGAAAAAAGTAAACCAGGAGCAGATGAGAGGCTGTTTATTCAAATATGGTGGATTAATAGAGATCTTTTTTTAGACTAGCATAGCTCTTCTTAATCAATGAGTTTGTCTCTCAACAACCACAAAAGAGTAAAATAAGAGCTATCCAAAGAAAGACTACTTTTGAGAAGGACGCAAGGGAAGGCACTCCAATTGCCTCTTGGAAAAGCACCTTTGGGACAATAGGATGAGCTCCTGGGGGAACAGCGAGGTATAAATCTAACAAATATTAAAAGCAACAATAACTGTTCAGAAGAAACCTGGTGAGTTGAAGAGAGAGTTAAATACAAACCCCCTCTTTCCTCTTTTTCTAGCCAGAAATAAATAGCTAGAACTTCAGACAAGCAACTACATGCTGGAATCGTTGCCACTGAAAAGGCAAGTCAAACCTGGCTGCATTTTTATTAATCCATCATTCGGGTTATTACATGCCAGTCTTTCTCCACCACATCCTGTCTCCTCCCTTGCTCAACAGTTACAAAATAATAATTTTGGTATCGTTCGGATGAACTTTTGCCAATTCCTAGTTTTCTTGTCATTTTTTAAAAAAGGAATTGGAATTGGATTGCTATGTAGGTCCAGGGAGGGAGGGAGGGAGGGAGGGAGGGAGGGAGGGAAGGAGGAAGGAAGGAAGGAAGGAAGGAAGGAAGGAAGGAAGGAAGGAAGGAAGGAAGGAAGGAAGGAAGGAAGGAGAAAGAAGAAGGCAATAAAGGAAGAGGGAAGGGGGAAGGAAGGAAGGAAGGAAGGAAGGAAGGAAGGAAGGAAGGAAGGAAGGAAGGAAGGAAGGAAGGAAGGAAGGAAGGAAGGGTAGAGGGAAGGAGAAAGAAGGCAGCAAAAGGAAGAGGGAAGGAAGGAAGGAAGGAAGGAAGGAAGGAAGGAAGGAAGGAAGGAAGGAAGGAAGGAAGATCTTTGGCTTCCTAATCTGGTCTACCTTGAAGAACTCATGGGATGTCCTAAGACTTTCCTTCCCCCAATCCTATATTATGGCCTGAGGTCTTGGATAAATTGGCTGTGTCTATGTCTTCCGAGTCCAGGGCATCACATGGCCAGGATATCAGTAACTGCTGCTTTGTGTTCTTGGAGGTCCATAACGGTTCCCCCTTCATCTACAGTTGCTACCTTTTGATGGCCTTCAACTTCCTTTCAAGTCTTCATATTTTTTCCAGTGGCCCTCACCTTTCAAACGAGTTCAAAATATCTAAGCTTTCACTTCAGGATTAGTGCTTCCAGGGTAGTAAACAAACAGAATTAAATCTGGGAGAAGAAAGCAGCCGTCCCCACATCTGTGCTAATGACAAAGACAGCAGCTTTCAAAGTTTGGTCAGCATCAGATCCATCCCCAATCAGCCGAGGGGCTCATGAATAATTCAAGCCAAGACACACCCCCCCCTATCATTTCTCTAGCTCCTCTGTAAAACTTTCAGTCTACAACAGCCCTGAATTTGCAAACATACAACTCTTGACTTAATCGTGCTGGCATAAATAAATCCAGAACCAAATTGATCCAACATTAGTGCAGGTTGATCTTCTAATATTAGCAAACCGTGATGGAGACCACTCAGTTCGGTCAACATTCCTCCATTTAATGGCAGCAAAAGCTTGGTGAACAACTGGTTGAACTTGGGTCGTAAATTAGGTTGGAGGGTTTAAAAAGGGAGGAAACATAATACCCGTGCATCGTCAACAGTGGAGATACAAAACCTTTACTATGTGGTGCATGGTAGAAATTCTGTGAAATACCTGGAGGTTTGCAACGTATCTAGAGAGCTTCCATTATCTGCCAAAGGGATTAATATTAATGCAAGCTCCTGCTCAGCAGATGGAAAAGAGAGTGGTCCATTAAGATGGGGTGGATAAATATCTGAAACTGCTACATACGTCTGTAAATGGAAAGTATTTTTCTCAGAGCTTGGGGGATGAAGATAAATAATGCAGTTGTAAGCGTAGATCTTCATTCCTCACTTCCATTTTGCTGAGACAGGATTGACCAGGATGGCTCTGGACTACTTGACCTTTGATAACGCCAGCTTCTCTCTGCAAAATGAAGTAAAAAAAGAAGCTGTCAAAAGGACAGATCTAATGTTCTTCTCCCAGAGTGCTCGGTGGTGTGATTGGAAATGTTTATAATCAAGATGGAATAGTACTGAGATTCCCACCATGGAGGAGTGGATGGTGAAAATGTTAAATCTGGAGGAAATAGCAAAATGGACGTGTTTGGTCAGGGAGAAAACAATAAATGGATTCTGACAGAAGAGAATATTTGTAACTTAAGGTTGAATTGGTTCTTGGTGCTCTCTGAGATTGGTGGAGCTCTTGCAGACGTTTCATAACCCAGCTAGGTAACATTATCACTGCTAGAATGGAGTGGGGTATGTGGGGGGGAGGAGGAGGAGGAGGAGGAGGAGGAGTTCTTACAGATCTTTCATTACCCAACTAGGTAACATCATCAGGGCAGTAGTGGCTTCAAAAATTCAACTCTAATCAATGAATGACCAAATCAGTCAAACAGGGTTTCTAATTTGTAATGCCTATCACGGATTAAGATTTTCTGAATTGTTCTTGTTCCTGATTCTGTTCTTAGTCAAGTTTCGATGTAGAGGTTCCACACTGTGGGTTAAGACTAATTTGAAAAATTAGTGCCTACATCACAGTGATTTTTATTAATGCTTCCAGTTCAGGATGGTTAGCTAATTTTTCAGACACTGAAACACACATATGTAAACATATACATAGACGCCTTTACGTTCTAGCCTGCCACTCCCTGTTTCAATAAACAAACCATTAATAACAGTCTGGCTGCATATAGTAAGTGACAAATTTAACAATTGACGTAGAAGTGAAAGACCTATAGATAACACAGAAAGGAAAACGGAATTTCATTTTTTTTAAAAAAAAAAAAAAGACCCAAATGATAGATAACAATTCTTTTTTTTAAAAAAAAAAAATCCCAGTACTATAACCATGTGCAGCCATAATCTTTCTCTAAATATTTATAATGTGTTCGTTGGAACAATGAGAAGGAGAAGGCAAAGTAGAAGAAAGAAGAGAAGAAAGAGGAGAAGGAATAGGAAGCAGGAGGAAAGAAGAGGAGGGTCATGAGGAGGAATTGAAAGTCATGTACATTCTTCAAACTGCAGGTTGCTCACTCTGCTGTAGCCCTTTCTTACACGATAGCTGCATTCCAAAATATGGCCAGATCTGTTAGTATATCAATAGGCAGATCTAATCCTTTTGGAAAACTGAGAACTCAGAAAACTTCCAGAGAATAGGTAATGGGAAACCCTTCCACAATCCATAGAAAACTGTGCAAAAATCCATCACTAGGAGTTCGGCTCAACTGAAGGACATCTTTAATTTATATCTTACATCTTACCATTCTTATAGCAGCTGGAGTGTTTTAGTTGAACAGCAGAACTCCAAAGAATAAATTAACTGAGCAGACAAATAATGTGCTCGGCCCTTAAGTAGCAATTTTGTTCAAGGCATCCCTTTTGACAGTTTCACAGCTTATTAGCCACGAAAATACGAAAAATTAGGCTTTTTTTAGCTTCAAGCTTCACGGCTTGGATCTCACATTCAAAGGCCTCCTGTCTTGTGCTAATAATGGATTGTGACCTTCACGTCCCTCTCATAAATTAAGAATCAAGACCTCCCTCACAGGATATATAGTTTGCAGCACCTAGTCAATGAACCTTTATAAAGAAGAAATAAGAAATTTGCTTAGGATATTTTTTTCCAGAAGAGAGTGAGGAAGGAAGGAAGGAAGGAAGGAAGGAAGGAAGGAAGGAAGGAAGGAAGGAAGGAAGGAAGGAAGGAAGGAAGGAAGGAAGGAAGGAAGGAATGGAGATAGGGAAGGAGAGGAAGGAGATATGTAGATGGCAGAAGAGATGGCAGAACCTGGGGGTGGAATCAAAAGAGGAATCAGCCTAGAATTCCTATGTAGCCACAAGGGAACTAAGTCCAACCCCCACTGGATTCCATTGACCTTTATCTAACTTCAAGTGGGTGCTAACCACTAATTGAGAAGATTCATCTACAAAAGCTATTACCAATAAATCAGTTTAACTGGACTATTGCATGTGGACCTGGTCATTCCCATCGGACAGGCTCCACCCACTCCATGACTTAGCACCTCCCATCATATCAACCTTAACATATTACTCTGGAGAGAACATGGTCCTAGGGAAATTGGCCCTTCCAATCTCATTATTCTGGAGGGAACACAGTCCCCTTCCCGGCTTTAATCAACCCAGTTCTTCATCCAAACTCAGCATTGTACTTTGAAGGATGTGACAAGGAGGGTCCCTCAAAAGGTCAAAAGGAATTCCCTGAATTTGAAATATTTGGTTCATGCATGGGCTGCCTATGGCGAGGTGTGTTCAAAATAGCTGCGCATTCCTTGGGTATTATGACAACTGCAGATTTTTTTTTTTTCAAACAGCTGGAGAAGATGCTTTCAAAAACCTTCTCTGCTCTCATTCCACTCTGGTTCCGGGTACAGTAATGGGGCAGGGGAGGAACGTCTCCATTTCTGGGGACCATTGTTTCCACACTGTAGTCTCTTTGTGGCAGACCTTGTATACACACTTGTCCAAAAGACAGATGAAAGAAAAGAAGAGGGCTGGATGGGGCTTTGAAAGAAGCGGCGAGGAAGGGGGTGGGTGGGTTTGGTAGCAGGTTAGAAGGCAAAGTAGGTCAGGTTACCAACTTTGTGAGACAAAGTGGATCAAAGACTGCCAAGCCAAGAAGACATCAAAGCCCAACACAAGCACCAAGATTGGTTTGTATCTCTGCGTCTGTTTGTCTGTCTATCTCTGTGTGTGTGTGTGTGTGTCTGAGGTGGCAATAATTGTAAACAACAAGAAAAGGGCTGGGATTGTAACCACTGGGGTTATTTCTTTTCTCTAGACCTTTAGATGTCCAGCATTAATATTTCACCTACTTAGGAGAAGCCAATCCATACTTTCTTCTCTTCCTTTCTTGAAGGGGAAAAGATGGAATAACTCAGGTCTTTTGAAAAGCAAGAAGCAAACATGAGTTGTTGTTGTTGTTGTTTTTCCATGGGAGTGCACGGGCCAGCGCAACTGTGAGGGTGCAGCCTGCAGACCCTGATTTGCAGCTGAATTGGAACTCTCAGCCTGTTGGCCACCATTGCATACTGGTAATCTTTGACTTAACAACTACATCCGGGACCAGGATGTCTGTTGCTAAGCCAGGTGGTTATTAAGCTTTGAGATGAATCGCTGTAGTTGTTCAATGAGAACCAGGCTTCCCTCATTGAGTTTCCTTGCTGGGAGGGTTGCAAATGGTGATCACTTGATATGCTGCATCCATCATAAGTACGTGTCCGTTGCCAAGCACCTGGATTTTGTGGGGATGTCTTGCTTCAATGTCCCATCTAGTTAATAGGAGC